TTCATAATCATGACATGACACATGTCATGAATATGAAGGAGGTTTTATGCATGTTTATGACAACTGTCATTAAGTGTCATTCGCTCAGTTGTCATTTTTAATGCAAATATGACATTATTTGACCTACCCCTACCCTTACCCCTAACCATAGCCCATAACAAAGACATCTCAAACAATGTGAAAGTGAAAGTGAAAGTGACGTGCCATGTGGCCAAGTATGGTGACCCATACTCGGAATTAGTGCTCTGCATTTATCCCATCCAAAGTGCACACACACACCGTGAACACACACCCGGAGCAGTGGGCAGCCATTTATGCTGCGGCGCCCGGGGAGCAGTTGGGGGTTCGGTGCCTTACTCAAGGGCACCTCAGTCGTGGTATTGAAGGAGGGAGAGAGCGCTGTACATTCACTCCCCCCACCTACAATCCCTGCCGGTACGAGACTCAAACCCACAACCTTTGGTTATGAGTCCGACTCTCTAACCATTAGGCATATTTACATTAAAAATTACATAACTGAGCGAATGACACTTAATGACATTTGTCATAAATATGCATAAAAACCCTTCATATTCATGACATGTGTCATGTCATGATTATGTAGGTGTCATGTCATGATTATGAAGGTGTCATGTCAGTCTTATGCACACCCCTTCAAGTAAAGTGTAACCAAAAAATCACTTCATCCACCAATGGAAAAGCTCAACCAACTTCCACAGTGGATTAATCTGATGAGATCATCAGTTAACCCACTGTAGTGGTTACCTGTGTTGTCACAACAGGTTTTGGGGCGGAAACCACCGCTGGGGGAATGGCTAGGACCGCAGGCTGGGCATTAACCACCATTTGAACTGTAGGTCGTCTTTTTAATTCCCTTGCTATTTGGCACCAGGAGCAAATGTTGCAAAAGGTCACATACATGCAGTCGGATGCCAACCCCCCCTGTAAAGAAGCAAATCATAATCAGTTGTTCAGAAATGTTTAATTAAGTGCACTCTTGTTGATCTGAGAAAAATAGCTCTGGATTTGGACGAGGAAATGCAAAGCCCAGACACATTTTTACTTAATTATTATGAGCCAAAAAAAAAAAAATCAGGGATGTATAAAATGTGGGCAGTTCATTTTTTACATATTTAACATTTTACATAGGGACTTGCAATACCAATGCATGGTGGTTGCGTAAAACATCACTATTTTTCTCATTGTGCACTGAATCCACGTTGTCTCATTCTGCTATTAAACATTCTATTAAACACTAAAGCAATTATGAAACACTAATCAGTTCCTTAAACACCACAAGTGTAAAAGGTAACAAAGTAATAACAATGTTTTAGCCATTGTTTTATGTGACATATTAATGTAAAAACATCTTGTCCCGAGAACATTCAATCTTTAAAATCTGTCTTTATATACATACATGGCTGAACATAGTCAGTGAGTTTCTTTTCAGCAAAACTAGGCTACAGGAAAAATATGATGGCACTGAAATTTCACTTGTGGTCAGATTTAGGATGAACTAGGTGAAACTATAATACAAAATCTATTTTGCACGAGTTGTGAACATGAGTTTACATCTGAATTTAATATGAGATAAAAACACCGTGTTCAGCAAATTAATGACAAGAACACACGTCTTTGTATCTCGAACTGCATGCAAACAAAACAGCGCGAACAAGCGATTCTGATCCTTTTCGAACATTCACAAATATTCACGAACTCACAAGTTATCAGTTTGAAAAATCTGACGAACCCTTCGCTGGATGAACTCACAGAATTCAAAGTGAATTCAAATATTCACTTTGTATTCACAAGATATTATGTTCAGCAATGTGTGTACGTGACTTCAATTTGACTGTGCGTAGTTTAACATACTATAATACTGTATAAGATTTCTGTTAACTGAAAGCATAAATATAGGTTATCCGATGCCGTTTTCAAAGCACAATGCAAAACTGTGGCATTTTATTCATTGACGCTCTTCAATCAGCAGTGCCAAAATAAAAGCTTTGCTGATTTTATCACTAAAATTCATAAAAAAGTTACATTTTATCATTGTATTTTTAAGTCAACTATAAAATAATTGTATTTTTATTTCATACTCCCTTTTTATTTGAAAATATAATAGTATTATCACACTTTATTATTTTGTTTATTATTGTATTTAAAAAAAACTAAATAAAGTGATACTAATTTTATTATCAGCATTATTAATTTATGTTTTATAGTTATATTTAATGGGTTACACATGTGCAGTCTGAGGCAAGTTCTGCAGTCTTACTGTATGTGTACAGTATGTACATTGAGCACTGCTGTTCAGTTGGCTTGTTTGGAGTCAAATTTAATTTATATACATTTGTTGTTTTTAAATATATAAAACATTTTTTTTGATGAATTTGTCTGTCTTTTATCAGATTGAACAATTGTTGTCATTTTTATTTGTGCTGGTCAATTATGAACAATAGATCAAATTGAACTGCTAGCAAAAACTTGGGAGAATTGGGTGTGGCCAAGGGGCCAGGCTCCTCCCCTAACAGATGTAATCTCACTCCAGACTTTTGATATAATTTGAGAGCCCTGGAAATTCATATACCATAGTATATAAAAAGGATACCATGTCCAAATCACAATGGTATTGATAGGATATATGTCCAAAAACCAACGAGAGACCCATGGAACTTTTTGGTACTTTTTTGTGCAACACATACCTGTATGCCATATCGATTTCTCACAGAAGCCCGCAGTGCCATAGATACCGGAGGGGTGCAGGCACAATTGTCAATCATGGGCAGACAGCAAAACTCCCCAAAATCTGATGCTGTGGAACAAATAAAGCAGAAGGGGCACCATATGGCGAAGCAGCCTGGAGAGAAGCAAATACAAATACAGATCGATTATTTAATGAATCACAGCTTGCGACAAAGCAAAACATAATAAACAAGACAAGTCACTTCAAACTCACAGACATTGCAGTCATCAAAGCATCCACAGATTCCAGTGCTCCACTGGTTTGAGCTCACTGCTATCACAGGACTGAACTGAGGCTGCTGAAATATCATGTTTGCTGCTATACAGTCGCTGCAGGGTGAATGCAGAAAATAGGTCATATTTAAATACATTGGAATATGCTATCAATATATTTTTAGGTGGTTTCAAATGATGAAATATTATTTTGCCTGTCTATGATGAACAAACTTAGAATTAAGAACTGATTAGTTATTGATAGAGCATTAATATGAACTCACCTCATTCCTCTCACACATAGAACTGTCCTCTGTATTATGGTTTCGCAATTCAAAAAGAAAGAAGTCAAGCTTTATTTGAATACAAGGAACACAATTTCCTTATTACATATATTTTTTGCATATAGGTTCCTCTCAGGATCTGAAAGATAATAATGCTATACAGGAAAAGGTCATATTGTTATTTTAAAGTAGCTGGAGCTTGACAGCCATAAGCCTCATTCATTTTCACTGAAGAAATTCACATGTTTGGACTGACATGTTTTTGAATTCTCAGTTTTCATTAAAATATTTCTGTGGATGTTGCAATGTAAAGATGACTCTAGATGAGTTTCAGGCTGTGAATTAATGTTGATTCCATGTTTACATAAGCAAACATTCTGTATTATCTTCCCATATTTAAAAGACAAAAACATTCATGAATTTTTTTTGGAATAATGTCCACACCTTTTTCTGTTAAAGTAAATATCAGCTTTGATTCCAGCAGTCTCATATCTAATATTGCTTAGCGAAACGTGTGAGTTATGACCGCCACTGCATGTGCCCACAATGGAAAACCCACAATGATTTTGTCCTTGGCCCTATATTTCAGACTAATATCAGTTCATTAGTTAGTATTGCTCAGTCCCTCACTACTCATATGGTTGTTTTTGTTTTGTGAGCTTTTCAGGCCCAGTTTCTGTTCATATTTCGGAAGAGTGGAAATGGCAGCCTAAGGGTTGAGTAAGTTTAATTTTGTAACCATGTGGAAAAAAAAAAACATGTAACAATGTTAAACCATGAAATGCAAATGCATATGTTTTTGATCAGCTTTATTGAGTGTCCCAACATATTTTTTGTATTTTCTACATTCAATCATTTACAGGCCTGCAAAAACACACACTAAAACATCTTTTAGTAACATCAACCCTCCAGTGTCACATATCAATGGCTCAATATAACAACTTTCTAACGACAGTGAAAATCATATTATGCATAATATTTTAAATATAAGATACAGAATGTGAGGTACATTCAAAAAGAAAACGCTGTCTCTAAAAACTAAAGCAGATTAAAACAATCTATTATAAAATTAGTTAAAAATAAAACTAAATAGTGACACTAAACATGTTGCAACATTAAAATCCCAAATCTGAGTATTTCTTAGGAGAATCCATTCTTCAGAACTCTTCATCCCCCTGGGTTAAAGCTGTACACCACCAATATGCAAAACACATTCCACTACAGTGCCATGCCGAAGGGCTGATCTCAGGTCAGTGTGTGTGTGGGAGGAAGATCAAGAACTGCGATTATAACCGCAGAACAAGCAAGTCTTGTTGTAAGTGATCCGATAAGGACAAAGTGTGCTTCAGAGAATGTACTGTGAAAATAATAATGAAGGTGTGGAAGATGACGGTGAACTTTAGGTAGGCCTGTTGTTAAACAGAGTGATAGGATGGAGTCTTGCCTTCATCTCCCGTCTGATCTGACACCATGAGCACGGTCCGCAGAAGAAAGAGTACACACAGTCATTGCAGATAGAGTCCTGAATGAGGAAAAGAGGAAATGTTAAACATAATGACCTGGAATATAAGGTCCTTGACTCTTATAACCTCTTAAAGGTGACATATCATGAAAATCGGACTTTTCCAGGTTTTAAGTGTTATAATCAGAGTAAACTTGTATGTGAATGAGAACTTAGTTTAGTACTCATGCTGTGACAGCCGCTTTCTGTACATGTGCTTCGGATATGTGCACTCAGAAAACCGTATATCAGAAGTTTAAACTAATATGGTTTAAAATGCATGATTTCAGCGCGATAAACATGATAATCAGAATCAAAAGAGATGTTTTTTAGCAGGTACCAGCTGTAATGGCGCAGCTCTATTCTGGAAAATGGGGCGGGGAGCAGCAGCTCATTTGCATTTAAAGAAACAGGCCCGAAAAACTGCGTGTTTCTGCTTCCACTCTAAATAGGCATTTTCAAAATGATATAATAAATGATCTGTGGAGTATTTTGAGCTGAAACTTCACAGACACATTCTGGGGACACCAGAGACTTATATTACATATTGTACAAAGAGGCATGATATGTTTCCTTTAATATTCTGAATTCACTTTTCTGCTGTTGTATTACGGTATATTGTTATAATGCAATTGTGTTTGAATTACAGTTTCTAATAAGACATATAAGGCTTGACTGATTAAAAAAAAATTGGTCCTTACTGTGATGCCGTAACGCCGGCGTGTGGAAACCCTCATGGAGAGAGTGACTGGGGGAATACACCCGCAGCTGTCCAGGAGAGGGAGACAGAGACATTCCCCGTGGTCTCTGGCTGTAATGCAGGCAAAGCAAGGGAAACACCACACAGAGAAACAACCTGCAGAAGTACCAGAAGAACCACTGATGAATTACTCTTCCTCTGACCATCAGATTGTTTGGAAAGCAATGGTTACACATTTTTTTTAGAATTTAGATTTTTGAATTAGTTTTATGGAATTCTTAACTTATACTCAAACATCCACACAAAAATATAGACACACACAAACTCACATTCATTGACGTTGTCGCATTCGCAGATGCTGGTGCTCCACTGGTCTGATGCAGCAGCCACTACCAATGGCCTGGGCTGTTGAACCACCATCTTGGTTGCCATAATGAATATTTTTCAGATTCAAGAACTCTGAAATTCCAAAATAAAACTACAATTAAGATTATAATTCACAATCTCAATACTTAATTAACATGTAACTTCAAAAGTCATACACTTTGTAAAAAAAAAAATAATAAAAAAAAAATATATATATATATATATATATATATATATACAAATTAAATAATATAAAATAAAATATAAAATAATACAATTTGTAGCAGATTTTGTCTTACCTGGGAGAGAGAGGCAAGTTGAGCAAGTGAATGACACTTGAGAGGAGGATGCTGTCTTTTATTTAGAGGGGGAGGGAGGAAGACGGGAATGTCTAGACGTAGATTCACACTCATACACCTGCACACATACGCACATAGGTAAGGATGCTTATCAAAGAACAGCTTTCTACCTGTGTTCTCATCAGACCGGAGGCACAGTGATAATGAGAAAAATGACAAATATGCCAGATCAATAGATTTAGAAAAATTGACAAGAAATACCAAATGTAAAGTGACTGTTAAAGTGTTGTGATCTCTGTAGTGTGTCTTTTGGAATTAAGGAAGTACCTAAAACATGTACAACATGTGCACAGTCTTTGTACAGATGCAGGGCTTTATTTGTTGCAATGAAACTCTCAGAGTACTCCAAAATCATTGCAACAACAACAGAATTAATAACCGGAACATAACATAATCATGAGGAACATTTTATGAAATCATTTGATTGTTCTTGAAGTAGAGATTATGTAAAGAGATATCATTAACTGCCAGTACATCATGTCTTGGTGTTTACATTTCTCAGTTTGCTGGCATGTACTTAGATATTTTGATATATCTAGATATTTTTAACGAGGTTACAGTAAATATTAGTGAACATTTGGATAAAAATCATCTGCTAACCTGCAAATGACAAACAACGTAAAATAATATTCAGCTTTGTCTGAAAATGTTATAAAATTCAGAACTCAATCACGTTATAATACTGAATTGCCATATGAACTAAAACATATCTGTTGTAGTAAACAACTTGTATATGTTTAACAAGCCTGTGCCGTGTGTGATATTTGAACATACATAAATATAAAGAATATAAAGTAATGCAAATCTAAAATAAGTCATAAAACAATTGAATGCTTTTTATTAAACACAGTAACACTTAAGGTACAATAAGGTTGCATTTGTTGCCATTAGTTAACTAACATGAACTAACAAAGAAAAATATTTCTAAAGCATTATTAGTCTTAGTTTATGTTGATTTACATACCTTATTAAAACCAAAAGTTGTGTCTGTTAATATTATTTAATGGACCTGAGTGAACATGAACAGCTGGATTTTTATTAAACAATGTTACCAAATATATAAAGTAATAAATGCGCTAACAAATGGATTACTTAGTTTTAGTTAATATTAGTGAGTGCATTAACTAATGGGACCTTATTGTAAAGTGTTACCAAAATATTATTATACTACTGTCACAGTTTTAAAATAAAACTAATTTAAAAACAGAACCAAATATGTGACACAAAACTGTGCCTTAAACATTATTCAAGAGGTATTTGAATCCCGCTTGAATCTCACTGTTTATTAGAAGAGTGTATCTTTTTCTTTTTCTTTACTGCTTTTGACAGCTGTTTGAAATCATAACCGGGAAGTAATTCATTTTAATTATTTTTATGACAGACAATGGAAAAAATAAAGAAGATAAAAAGAAAGTATCCTGCAAACAACGTAACAGTAGCAGATAGATAGATAGATAGATAGATAGATAGATACACGCACAGAGTTAATGAAAACAATGAAACCATAAAAAATGTGTGCAGTTTGTCAAAATCTTTATTTCAACACATGTACAATGACATAATATATTAACAAATATTTATAACAAGCAAAACATAACTAAAAGCAAGAGCTTTGAAACAAAATTAAAAAGGACCTCATGATTCAAAATGATAGTTTTGATACCAACAGTGTGTCAATGTGTTGCAAATCTACATCAATACATAAAAACATCAATATGGTTTGTTATCCTAAAGAATCATGTATTTTCAGAGAAGAGTTTTCAGTCTTCATTCCTGAGCAGACTACATCTGAAATCCACATCATTCCTGAATTTCAAACAGAGAGCATTACACTTCTCCAACACACTCAAAGCTAGCTTATTTCTTTTCAGAGCTGAGGATTCAATTAGTGACTGACGATGAAGTTTTGTTATTTTGCTCGGTTGCGGAAGAGGGTGACAGGGTGGCTGCGAGCTATCAGCTCACGTCTTATCTGACAGTAGGAGCACGGGCCGCAGCAGAAGGACAACACACAATCATTGCAGATAGAGTCCTGTTAGAGAGAGAGAGAAAGAAATGAGTCAGTCACTAAACATAAAACTGACATCTAATATAAGCTATACATCTAGTATCAAAGAATATTCTACATCACACATAAAGGATTCTTCATTTAATAAAGGCCAGCTGACTTAACTTCATGCACAGAGTTTTTTCTCTTACTTTAAGTGTAACCTTGCTGTATTTATATGCCTAAAAAAACTGAATTTTCAACCCCTAAATACAAAGAATTATTTATAATAAAAAAATATATATATAACTAATAATTAAAAATATAATACGTTTTTTGCTAACATTTATAATTGAATTGATATTTTATTTTTACTGGAAAACAGGAAAAAAATGTAGTTTTTCTTTTTTTTGCAGTGAAGTCAAAAGTCATTACCTCAATTCCATAGGTGCGTCGGACAGACACTCTCATGGCCATAGTGATGGGTGGGAAGAGACCAAAACTGTCCAGCAGAGGCAGGCAGAGACACTCTCCGTGATCTCTGGCTGTGATGCAGGCGAAACATGGGCAGCACCAGAGCGCAAAGCAACCTGCCGAACAAGAAGGGAAAAATCAGTCACCATGTGAAAAAGAGCAGAAACGTACAGATATACTTGATTCACATGCGTTACATATTATATGAAGACACAAAATCACTCACAGTCATTGAGGTTGTCACATTCACAGATGCCAGTGGACCACTGGTCAGAACCAGGAGCCAGAACAAGTGGCTTGGGCTGCTGAATAACTATTTTAGTTGCCATGATGACTTGTGCTCTGAAAGAGAAAAACCAAGAAAACTGAAACATGCATTTAAGGTCAACTCTGTATTTGTTATGTGCATTAACAAATGTATTAACTTAGTATGCATATGCAGTTCTTACCGTGTGAGAGGAGAGACAGTTGGGGATGACGATGGAGATTAGTACTGAGCCTTTGTGACAATCTGTGTGACACTTTATAGAACCATCAGTGACCAAACACACGTACACACGTGTAGAGACAAAAGATTCGTAGCATTTCTCCACAGAGTCAGAGCAGGTTAGTCGGGTACATGCTTTTCTTTTTATCGATAGATTTTGGGTGATTACCAGTTTTGCTGACGTGAGACATTGTGACTCATCTTAATGAGACTGTGTAGCCTACTGATACTGAGAACTACCTATGAGAAAGAAAAGGTAGAAAACAAGAAAAATGCATCACACTCACCAAGATCCTCTAGTCAAATCATTGAAATTTTAATTGTATCAAGCATTTCATCACAATAACTGCAACAGTGGAAAGCGTTCTGGACATCAAATTTTGCAGTAGTGCCATGTCAAACATTTTTGTAATTTGTCAAATTATCAGTCTTCACACAAAATATCTAACTTAGTGCATGCAGTATGCATTATGGGATTTTCATAAAGTACTATTTTTACAGTAATATATACCTTAAAATTAAACAAGTACTACCATTCAAAAGTTTGGACACAGCATGTTTTGTTTTTTTTTAATAAATACTTTTTGACTTAACAAAGATGCATTAAATTGATCAAAAGTGATACTGAGGACATTTATAAAGGTTTATATTTCAAATAAATGCTGTTATTTATCCAAGAATTTAGAAAAAAGGTGTCAAAATTTCCACAAAAATATTAAACAGCACAATATTTTTTCATTGATAATATTAAGAAATAGCGCCAAATCTGCATATTAGAATGACTTCATATGGATCACAAGACACTGAAGAGTGGAGTAATGATACTAAAAATACAACTTTGCCATCACAGGAATAAAATACAAATCATAAATCAAATAAATGCAGCTTTGGTGAGCATAAGAGACTTTCAAAGACATTACAAAATCTTTAACCCATCACAAAGTACATGCACCTGTAAGTCATAACTATGGAAAAATCTGTTATGAAAAACATAGGCTATTCAAGTTTATTACATAAACTTTTATGCCAATTTATTAAACAGTTAGTTACCTACAATGCAAGCAAAGACATGCCACTCAGGGTCGGACCACCCTAGTGAGGCGACTAACAGGTGAGAGACTTTCTCCTAATGAAGCCATTTGGGTGATAAGACTTATTTTCATTACATTAGGTGGAATTCACACTGTAACTGCATAAAGAATTATTATACCATTACTATGACTGAATCACAAACTGGCTTCCTAAATTGTAGCATTTTCAACGCATTAAATCTTCCAACATATGATCGCTAAAACACAATTCTTAAAGGGGTCATATGATGCTGCTAAAAAGAACATTATTTGGTGTATTTAGTGTAATGCAATGTGTTTATGCGGTTTAAGGTTAAAAAAACACATTATTTTCCACATACTGTACATTATTGTTTCTCCTCTATGCCCCGCCTTTCTGAAACGCGTCGATTTTTACAAAGCTCATCGGTCTGAAAAGCGAGGTGTGCTGTGATTGGCCAGCTATCCAGTGCGTTGTGATTGGCCGAATACCTCAAGCGTGTGACGGAAATGTTACGCCCCTCACCACACTGTGATGATGCCCTGTCCGGACGGAGCGATGATTCAAAAACATTAAAACCCATTATAAACGAGGCATTTGTTGCATCCAGTGGGGACATAATTATGGATTATAATAACTTATACTGTCTTTTTACGCTTTGCGTTGCAACGCGCCGCATAAACATAAAACCATGTCTGCATGTGATCGGAGAAATGACAAACAACAAGTGCTACTCTACACTGCTCAAAACTCGCGTTTGAATCATCAGTGGCAAATTCTTTAAATATGAAAAAATACTTACAGTCTCTGAGTCAGAACAGCCGGCATTGTAGTCTATTCTCCCAGAATCAGGAAGCAGTCCTCCATAAAATGCGCTGCACACATCTGAATATTTGAGTTGAAGTGTTCTGGAACAGTGCTGTAAATACAACTTAACCACTGATTTCTAGTCGTGTCCATTAGAAGGATCGTCCGGAGGGCTTGCGGCAACCACATGTGACGACCCCAGCCTGGACTCCACTTCGTCCACGGTGAAAGCCGATCTGGTGATCCACAGCGCGAAGTTGTTGTATTTCCTCAGCGACCAGCATGGATCAGCTCCAGGCATGACGAAGCAGATATCGTCCTCTTTTGGAAGACCAAACAAAGTAGTTTCGCTTTCACAACGAAAAACACAGCGGCCTAGCGTGAG